GCAAATGCCGAGCAACTACCTAGTGAACTCCAAACAGCCTGCTGGAAGCAATCAACCCTTGCTAGCGTGACCCGAGACTCCTAGATCTACACACAGGGTGCAGGGAGTAATGTGAATACGCCAACTCAGTAAGTAATAAAAGTAAAAGCAGCTGAGCGATAAGAAAACACGTAAAACACAATACAATGCTACAACGAAGCAGTATAAAATCAGAGTAATGCAATAAGACAGTAAAAGCTCGTAGAAATACCTTAATTCAGTAAAAACCTTTTAAAACATCTTTTAGCAATTCAACGAGTGAATGAAAACAGGGAGAAAAGATAAAAAAACATAAATCAGTCCCTCAAGCAAAATACCAATAGAACTAACCCCTCGGGTTATCTCACAATCACTCGTATCAGCCCCTCGGGCAATAATATGGAACCACATCAGCCCCTCGGGCAATAATATGGAACCACATCAGCCCCTCGGGCTAGATCACATCTCACACTGGGTACCCACGCTCACTGGGGTGTACAGACTCCGGGAGGGCCCCCTTACGGCCCAAGCGCAATAACAAGTCATCTCGTGGCATAATCAAATAAGCACTCGGCCTTATAACAAGCCACCTCGTGGTGTAACAAATCAGGCCCTCGGCCTCATAATCGTGAATTAGTATATCACTGTTACGACACACAGCCCGATCTAATAGTATCCTCACAACACATGCCCTCGGCCTTACTAAGTCAGAATCTCACAAGCCACTCGGGCAACAGTAAAACATGATGCTCAGCCCAAAATATCATTTTTAAAAAATATCAAAAGTGAGTAAAGATGACTGAGTTGTGAAAATAGTAGAATATAGCATGACTGCGTACAGATACGAAGTCAAAATAGTGAGTAATAGTAGTAAAAATCCCCTAAGGGTCCAAAACAGTTGGCACGATGCTCGATATGGCATTCAGTCCAAAACATGATGATAACAAACAGTTTTTAATCAAATACGCGATTAACAGTCATACAGAAAGGACTAAGTCACAATCCCTAATGGTGCACGACCACATGCTTGTCATCTAGCGTGTGCGTCACCTCAAAGTAGCACAACGATGTGAAATCCGGGGTTTCATACCCTCAGGACAGCATTTATAATCATTACTTACCTCTATCCGGTCCAAACTCTAGCCCGCAATGCCCTTACCTCTCGAATCGGCCTCCGAATGCTCCAAATCTAACCAAAATCAGTATATAATCATCAAAACATGCTAAGGGAACAACGCCCACTTGAAAATAATCAAATTACAATATAAATCCCGAAATTTACCAAACCTGACCCCCGGGCTCACGTCTCTGAATCCGACAAAATTTACATCAATGGAATCCTTATCACTCCACGAGTTTATTCATATCAAAAGTACCAAAATCCAATCACAATGACCCCTCAAACCCTTAATCAAAGTTCTCCAATCTCAAGCCCTAGTTTCTTCAATAATTACCCACAAATTTTCCATAAGTTTCAAGCCTAATCAATGAAATAACATCATAGGAACGAGTTTTTATGTTCAAAAATCTTACCTCAATGAAGTTCCCTTGCATTCCCTCTTCAAAATCCCCCAAAAAGCTCCAAAATCGATTTAAAAATGGTGAAGAAATGCTGAAAATCGCGAAGGAGGGTTTATATACTTTCTGGCCTAGGAATACCGCACCTACGGTCCCAAACACGCACTTGCGTGACCGTATCTGTGGCCAAAGTACCGCATCTGCGGTTTTCACTTAAAAGCCCTCTTCCGCATCTGCGACCAAACGCCTGCAACTGCGTTATCGCAGATGCGCTCCAATAGCCGCTTTTACGGTTCCAGCTGACCTCCCTCTTGGCCGCTTCTGCGGCTTGCCTTCTGCTTCTGCGGGCATCGCACCTGCGGCCTCCCAACCGCATGTGCGATTATGACAACAACAATAAACTTCAGCTGCCAAACTCAACTCCAAAATTTCCCGTCAACCATCCGAAATCACCCCGAGGCCCCTGGGACCTCAACCAAAAGCACGAACAAGACATATACCACTATCTAAACTTATACCAATCTTCAAAACACCTCAAACAACATCGAATCAACCAAGTGACATCGGATTCAAGCCTAAGATTCCAAAAAATTTCTCAATTCCAGTTTTGATCAAAAGGTCTATCAAACCACGTACGAATGACCTGATATTTCGTGCACACATCCCAAATGATACAACGGACCTACAACAACTTCCGGAATTCCATTCCGATCCTTATATCAAAATCTCACCTATCAACCGGAAAATGCCAAATTTTAATTTCGCCAATTCAAGCCTAAATCTACTACGGACCACCAAAACACGTTCCGATCACACTCCTAAGTCCCAAATCACCTCCCGAAGTTATCCGAACCATCGAAATTCACATCCAAGCCCTTTTTCACATAAGTCAACATCCGGTTGACTTTTCCAACTTAAGCTCACTCAAAGGAGACTAAGTGTCTCAACCCTTACCAAAACCTTTCCGAACCCACGCCAACCAACCCGATAACACATAATACAGTTGAAAAGACAATAAGAAGCATAAATGGGGGAAAACGGAGCGGTAACTCATAAAACGACCGGTCGGATTATTATACTAGAGTTTTAATCTAATATTTTGAGATATTAATTGTTCGTTATGGTTATCAAATTATTTGGATACTCATTTAATTAATCAAATGCTGCAAATTATGACTAAGGTAAGAAAGTATGGTTCGCCTGGTAGGTGGTGTTAGCTCGGTGCCAATCACGTCTAGGGGTAGTTTGGGACGTGACAAAAATTTAGTCACATGGATGTTACTTTGTACGCCGTGATCAATAAGATGTCATTTGTTTTAAAAAAAATGTTCCAAAATGTATTCTGAAAATTAAAAGTTCACTTTTTCTTGTAAAAACACAATGTTTATATTATCATAACGTAAAAACGAGTAAAATTCATAAATAGCCACTTTTAAGTCTCTATTATTGAAAATGGCCAATATCCTGAAGTTTTAAACGTCACAAGTGAATCTCCAGAATAGTGTTGGGCATATATTGGGTAAAACCGATAGTCCGAATCAAAAAAGTTTATTGGGTTATCGCTATCGGGTTATTGGATTAATGGTTCTATAACGGTTTAGTGTTATTGGATTATTGGATTATCGGTTCGGGTCTCAGTTTTCCAATTTTATAAACGGTTTAATCGATAACTCAACAATCTTTATCAAAATTATAATTTTACCCTTAGGTATATAAAGACACCTTAGGGCTTCATTCTATTAGAACTATGTTTGGATTTCTTAATTATTATGGCGTGATTGCTACTATTTTGTGTTGTTTCTACTGTGTTTGGAAAACTGAACTTGAACAAATCTCTTGTTCTTGATATGAAAGCAACTTTTGTAATTATGATTATCCAATATTACAGTGTTCATCATATTCTGCTAATTGATCGTCCTAATGGATCCTCCCGAACAACCTAGAGTATGCGTGCAACATTTCCAGAATATGTTGTTTCTCTTGCCACAATTGTTGGATTAGCACATTTCATCGTAATAGTATGATTAATGTTTCTCTCTTAAATAATGGAATATTGTTACGTTTGATGAAAAGATTAATGAGACTTATTCAATCATTGTCTTGGATGGATGCAAGTTAATATGGTGAAGTCATCCTTGTTCATTTCATAATCTCATTGTTGTTCATTTGTATTTGAATACATGAAGTACAACAACAACAACAAAAAGTGAAATCTCACAAGTGGAATCTGGGGCGGGTAGTGAGTATGCAGACCTTACCCCTATCTCGATAGAGTAGATTAAAATATGAAATACATTTGAGCACAAATATGTCTGTGAAATTTTTGTTCATTCTATAGAACATAATTGAAAGGGGTCAAAGTTATAAGATCATTAACATTATACACTACATTTTTTCCTCTATATTTAGTTATCTTATCGGATGAACCGATAACCGAACCGATAATGATCGACAACCAATTAACAATAACCGATACCTTATAGGTTCGGTTATCTATAAATCGATAACGATATATCGAACCGATAACACTCGTAACCGAATCGAACCGGCCATAGCATATCTATAAATCGATAATAGCTATATCGAACCGATCACATTTGCAATCGAACCGAAGCGGCCGATATACACTCCTACTCCAGAACATTGACATTGGTTATTTTTCAAAGGCAAGGTCGAAAAGTGGCTAGTGGGCCCTTATTCTACAGTAAAAACACCTAAAAATAGCACGGTATAACCAGTTTTCGGACTGGTCATTCAAAAATAGCTAGCATTTACGAAGTCAATGAAAAATAGCCACTATTTTGCTGTAACAGAGATCGGTCCAGCATAATATACTGGAGTTCGGTGTACCTGTGTATGAACTCCAGCATATTATGCTGGACCGGTATACTTTGCTGACTCCAGTATAATATATTGGAGACTGGAGCACCGGTGCTCCAAACTCCAGTATATTATACGAGACAATTATACTTGTTGGAACTCCAGTATATTTATGCTGGAGTTCTAGTGTACTTATGCTGGAACTCCATCATATTATGTTGGAGTTCCAACATACTTATGCTGGAACTCCAGTATAATATACTGGCGTATTTTCCGGGTTTTGAATAGTGTTTTCGCTCAAATTTATCTTTACATGAAAAGTGGCTAAATTTCGATTACTTTTGAAATTGGGCTATTTTTGAACGACCAGTTGTAAATCCGGCTATTTTTGAATTTCTCCCTAAAAACACTTGAAAGATGTCAAAGGTCTACGGCCCAAAAACTTAACCAGCCCAGACGAGTTGGTTTGGGTTTGTGTATTCTGGGTCGTTCTCGGCCCGTAGAAGATTCTATCGCTTTAGCAATGGAAATAATGGCGGGAGAGAGCAAATTATGTTCAAAACTTCTTTCCTAAAACGCCGTCCCACGTAAAAATAAAAAATGGAACGCCGTCACTTTTTTCAACTCTAAGTTAAACACAGTGAGTAACATTTATATCCCTAAACTACCCCGCACACGCACTACACACACTCATTGCACTGTATCACACACTCTCCCACGCACCACCACTCCTCTCAATCCACTCTCTCTCCCATGGAGAATCAGGCAAAGCGGAGCAAACAATCTTCGTCGAGTTCCGGGAGTAGAAGAAGCTTGAAGAGAAAGCTAGACGAAGAATTCGAAGACGATCGCAAAGTCTCTTCTCATGAAGATCTCGTCCCTGAGGTTCGTACGCAAGTGGAGATTCTCGAATCTACTTTTTCTTCGACTGAAGCAGATCGAGCTTCCGCAAAACGTGCTATTCACGTGCTCTCCGAGCTAGCTAAGAACGGTAACTCAAAATCTCGTTTTCCTTTTCATTTCTACCGGATCAGAAATTTTACATGTACATGCACTGTTCTACTTATGTAGAGTTAAATGTTAATTCAACTAATTTTTTGAAGTTTAATCCGATTGCGAGTTTAATTTTTATTTTCTACAGAAGTAAAACTTCAATTTCCAAAAACTGCACAAAAGTATTGTGTTATATGAAAAAAAAATCATTATAAATGTCTAGTAAAGTTCGTTTCGTTTGAATATGGGGAAGTGTGGAGTTAATTCAGCTGTTTGGCATTTTTGCTTCTCGAGAGTCAATTCAATTAATTTTGTAAGTTAATTAGATTGATTCGATTATTTTTTCTTCTGAAAAATTAGACTTAGATATCGAGAATAAGTGCCACAGTATATTAGAAGAAAACATTCATTACAAATGTTAGTCAAGATTCTTATGGTTTGAATACAGCAAAGTGTAGAGAGCCAAACGTGTCCGGACAGAGACATCATTATGTACATGCAGAGAGTTGTATTGGTTTATTTCAATCAGTTTGGGACGGAGAGTTCCATTTTGATATTTGAGAATTTTTNTATTTGAGGATTTTTGTGTTGCAGAGGAAATTGTGAACGTGGTTGTAGACTGTGGTGCTGTTCCAGCTTTGGTGAAGCATCTTCAGGTGCCGTCCCTTGGGATTGAAGGAGATGGTGGAGAGATGCCGTACGAGCATGAGGTCGAGAAAGGAAGTGCTTTTACGCTTGGGCTTCTTGCCATAAAAGTTAGTATTGAAATCGTATTTATGAGAAGGCAATGTTTGCTATATACAGGAGCTTGCTTATGCAATAGGAGCTATGTTCTGTTATTGAATAAATGAGCTTGCTTATACAATAGGAGCTATGTTTTGTTACTGAATACATTCCACTTTAATTGGTACTTTGGTTTTGTCTACATATTTGCATGTACAATTTGGTTTATTTCTGCACTCTCTTGCCATTGAGAAGATGAACGATTTCATTTACAATGACAGTTACTAGAACAATTGGATACTTGTGTTTCTTAACAATTTGTTGTCTCTCAACAGGAATATCGATTTCTTCTCTATCCTGTATGATCCTTCTTTGGTTAATAATTTAGATGGAGGTGTTTTTAACTGTTTCTGTGTCTGACAGCCGGAGCACCAGCAACTCATTGTTGATGCTGGAGCTCTGCCTCATCTTGTGGATCTGTTGAAGAGGCACAGGAATGCACAAAATTCTCGTGCTGTAAATGGTGTTATCCGTAGAGCAGCTGATGCAATCACCAATCTTGCTCATGAAAATAGCAGCATCAAAAGTCGAGTCAGGTTAGTTTCTTTGTTCTCTGAAATTTTGGTCTTCTAAAAAAATCAATAGAAGACATGCTTTTCATTCTAAATCTCTATTTTGTATGTGTAGGATTGAAGGTGGTATTCCTCCTCTTGTTGAATTGCTTGAGTTTGTTGATTCAAAGGTGCAAAGAGCAGCTGCAGGAGCCTTGCGAACTTTGGCATTTAAAAATGACGAGAACAAAAATCAGGCTAGTAGCTTTCTGATTTATGAAAATTATCTCTGAACTTCTTGCATTATCTGTTCTATGGATAATTTCTCCGAATTGATTTCAGATTGTTGAATGCAATGCACTACCTATTCTTATTCTAATGCTGCGGTCCGAAGATACTGCTATACACTATGAAGCGGTTAGGCATCATTTTACAATTTCATATTACTAGCTTTATTTTTGTTTCTATAGTTAAGTAGGTATAAGGTTGTGTGTATGCTTCAAGTGGTAATCATCGCTATACGTAATAAAATTGTACACGACAGGTTGGAGTCATTGGAAATCTGGTGCACTCATCACCACATATCAAAAAGGACGTTCTTCTTGCTGGAGCTTTACAACCTGTCATTGGGTTACTTAGGTATAGTTGGATCTTATAATTTTTGAGTGGCTGGTCATGGACAGCTTCTACTTCCTAGCTGCTTATCATATGCAGAGTTCCATAGATGGACCTAGATGTGCTATGCTTTGCTTTTGTCTTTTCCTCTTTATGGCTTCTCAACATAAGTTTTTATGTAGTTCCTCCTGTTCGGAGAGCCAAAGGGAAGCTGCTTTATTGCTTGGACAATTTGCAGCAACCGACACAGACTGTAAGGTTGATGATACTATTGTACTCTATTATTGTCATAAAGAGGAGTAAAACTCTTGATTTATTAGCATTTAAAGAAACTTGTTCTCATTTATGCTTTAATCTTTTGCGATGGTTTTCCAGATACACATTGTGCAAAGAGGTGCTGTACCACCATTAATTGAGATGCTCGAATCTCCGGATGCTCAACTTAGGGAAATGTCAGCCTTTGCCCTGGGAAGGTTGGCACAGGTGACTTGAAATCCTTACAGAACTTCTTTAGGGTATTTTGTCTCCTTGTGGTTATCAAGTAATTTTTCTGCTGTGTTACTAGTTGTCCCGTGGGCCATTATTTCTCTGATTATTCTGTAAGCTTACCATTCATATTTATTTTCTGGAATTACTTGTGATGATTGTTGATGATCATGGATTTACCTTTCATGATTACTGAGGTCTCTTTTGAAGTATGACACATGCTCATGGGATCTTCTACATGGGCTTACCCCGTTTATCAATCAAACGTAATACCAGAAAATATACTTGTAGTAGGGGTTCCAGCAGACCATGTTTCTGTGATTATTCAGCAAGTTTAGCATTCAAGAATTTATTTTCTGGATTTACTTTATGTCTATGAATAGGCATCACTTGTGCCTTAATGGAGCAGAATGATTACAGAGGATTCATATGGGCGTCCCATTAGGATTGAGGTTTAGTTGAATGATTGACTTGTATTTTTGGATGATAGATCATGGAGTGACACTTGAATACTTGTTTTTATTTGTTTCATCAAAAAGGATGCTGTAATATCTTGTATATTGGCTTGCCCACTTGTTAAAAAGAACTTGTTACTTAGGAGTAACGTATAAAAGGAATCATGCTTGTGAGTAGTGGTTTCATGTCTTGAAATATTATATACATGCCTAGGAGTCCCTAAAGTAGTATAACTTGTCGGATAACGGCAAATTGGTATTTTGCATTAACACCTATCAATTGGGAGGTTACATTTTATCCTAATATTCTGAAGGGATAATGTTAATTTTGTGATATATCATTAAATGCGTAAAAGGCCAAAGCATGTGCTCTTCTTTTCTTAACTGTAGTACAGTACGGCTGGAATGTGGTAGAGCATTGGGTTCTTCTTTTCTTTCTTTCTCTTTGGAGTTCATATGATTTGAGAATTATGTGTGTGGATTCTAGTTGATTGGGAGTTATTGGTTCCATGATGTTCAGGACACACACAATCAGGCTGGTATTGCTCATTGCGGTGGAATAATCCCATTACTGAAGCTTCTTGATTCAAAAAATGGATCATTACAACATAATGCTGCATTTGCTCTTTATGGGCTTGCTGATAACGAGGTGTTACATCTCATCCGATCATATGTCTTGTTGTTATAACCAGATTTCATGCTTTTACATGCTTTTTAAATTTGTAACGATGTGTTACATCTCATCTGACTTAGTGCAACTTTCTGCTATAGGATAATGTTGCAGATCTTGTAAAGGTTGGAGGTGTTCAAATGCTCCAGGATGGAGAATTTATTGTTCAAGTATGATTCTTTTCTTTTCTTCTCGTTTTTGCTATTTTGTGCTAACATATTTTTTAAAGGACTAACAATTTCATAGCCTTATAGTGATTTTCTCATTATTCTTCTTTATTGTTGCCATGGGCCTTGATGTTGTTCACTGATTTTTCAGCCAACTAGAGATTGTGTAGCGAAGACATTGAAAAGATTAGAAGAGAAGATTCACGGACGAGTGAGTTTCTATTTATATTTATAGCAAGGAATTTGTTGATTCAAACTTCCATTTGTTGGTAGTGAAGCACATGTTTTGTATAAGAACTGAACCAATGCATTTCTTTTGCTAATGCATGCAATTATTTTTGGTCTGTTCTAGCTATGATATGTGTTGTATCCCCCAGTTTCCAGTTCTTTTTCTCTTTCCTTCAATATGGCAAATTTCGTTGTTAAGTCTCATAGGTTACTGATGGTTATATCTCAAAACTTTTTGCCCTCCTTTCAGGTATTAGGCTATTTGTTGTACTTGATGCGTGTCGGGGAAAAGGTTATTCAAAGACGAGTTGCTCTGGCCCTTGCCCATCTTTGTTCACCAGATGACCAAAAGACAATTTTTATTGATAATAATGGTATGAGTTCCGCTCAGATACTTGGAACAATTTTACTTGGGGTGTTGGTTAGGCTGTCACAATATGTCCACTGTGTGGACTATGTTCTTGTAGGATTAGAATTGCTTTTGGAGCTTCTAGAATCAACAAACTTGAAGCACCAAAGAGACGGTTCTGTAGCTTTATGCAAGTTGGCTAACAAAGCCAGCTCGCTTTCACCGATCGATGCAGCTCCTCCATCTCCGACTCCTCAGGTTCGTTCTGTGGTTTCATTCTAATTACTGTATCAAAGTCTTTGTTCTAGTTTTTGGTTTTAAGTTCTAACACGAGTAGCGTTATAGTCTTTTAGTCATTTATGGGTTTCTATTAATTCTTCATTGTTACACTTTAGTGCTTTCTCACATTGAACTAACATTTAAGCTATCTTCGTATTATCATCAAGCCTTTCAAAGATGTTCCCTGAACTGATTGATGATGTTCAAATTGAAGCAATTGATTGTGATTCTTGTAGCTTCTACTGTTTATAGTTTATATGTCAACCACCATTTGCTAGCCTTACCTCAAGACTTGAAACTTATAAAATGTTTACTTGATGTTCACTTTCGTCAGTAATTATAAAATGTTGTCACGGGTTAGGCACACATCACAGCTTCGAATGCTGCCTCAGACAAAAGCTTGTTATTTAATTGGATAAGGGCAGAGATGCGGGTCCATTATTTACTGAGGTCCAACCCGCGTGCCGCTGGCCCTCGGGGATTTCTCAGATAAAAAAAAATTGTCTGATCTTTTTCATGTTTGTTAGTTTTTATGTCTGCTTTCTTACTTGACATATATGTTGCTCGTAACCATCAATAGTGGAGTAATTAGACAATTTATTTCATCCCTATACTGTATCACTTTACCTTATTTTCTCCTTTTGCATTTTCCCGATGCAGGTCTATCTGGGTGAGCAGTATGTAAATAATTCCACTCTATCCGATGTGACATTTTTAGTTGAAGGTAGCAACAGTGTTATGATTCAAATATCATTCTTCTTTGTTTCATGCTGTGTCTTTACTGTTTCTGCGGTCCTCCATCAGGCAAACGGTTTTATGCCCACAGAATTTGTTTACTTGCTTCTTCTGATGCATTCCGAGCAATGTTTGATGGTGGCTACAGGGTAAGTCAAATTCTTGCCCTAAAAAATTTGTTGCTTTTACTTTTTAGGTTTTATTTGTTGTTAATTTGATCATTAGCAACGCAAGAGGGAAAGTATTTTTTGCCTCAAAGATTTTCTATGGATTATCTTTCCCTTTGGACAAATTTAACACTGACGGTATCAAATGGTCTTTGCAAGAGGAGAATAGCTAAGAGGCAAACATCTTTGTTTGAAATATTGTGAGCATGTGTTCTGTGACTTGGCCAAATGCACAAACGGAGACTACAATACTCTGATGATTTGTGGTCTATTCATTGCAGGAGAGAGATGCCAAAGACATAGAGATTCCGAACATTCCATGGAATGTTTTTGAGTTGATGATGAGGTGCAATACTCTTTAATTTCTGTCACATTTGGAATTCAGATTTGTTCAAATAAATCTAGCAATATTAAAGACAAGAAATTTCTTTTTTGCAGGTACATATACACTGGATCAGTTGATGTTAATATGGATGTCGCACAAGATCTTCTAAGGGCTGCAGATCAATATCTTCTAGAGGGCCTTAAGCGTCTATGCGAGTATGCAATTGCACAGGTGAGTTCTTGGACCTTTTTGGTCTTTGAGGGCAATTTGTGTCGGGGTTTTCCTGATATTTTTCATCTGCTCTAGGATATCTCTGTGGAAAATGTCTCTCTCATGTTTGAGTTGTCGGAGGCTTTTAATGCTTTGTCATTACGAAATGCTTGCATTCTATTCATTTTGGAGAAGTTCGACAAATTAAGCGTCATGCCATGGTATGTCCAGTTCTTACTATCCTTTTATTTTGTCATTCCTTGAAAAAAAAAGCACATCCCAATCAAATACGCACGCGGACAAACTATTATATGATCTCATGATAGTAAAATTGGAAAAAACTTGCACAATGGTGTTTACACCAATTATATAACTGCATGACATGCCTTTTAACACATTTCAATCACTTACCCAATAACTAATTGTTGCGTATTCTGATCTCAATTTATCCTTAACCATGATAAATTCACGTGGTTTGGTGTAAATACCGAATGTTGGTAAGTTTCTAACCGTACTATTGATTGGGGGTCTTGTTATCGCTATGTTTGGTTTTGGCGTGTTGGTTGGGTTGGGTTAGGAGAGCTGGGATCACATCTTAACTTGCATTAGCTGTCAGGCTCTATCACAGGAGTTTCGCCTTTTGTTGGAAATAGAGATTTTCAAATAGAAATAGCTGGATAATATTTAAGTCAGAAGGTAGAAAATTTATTTTATTGTGTGTAATTGTGTATTAACCAAATATAATCTCGTTACATGTAGGTATTCACATTTGATTCAACGTATATTACCTGAGACACGTACGTACTTTGTAAGGGCGCTGAACAGGCCAATTCAAGCTGACCTCTGATGTCGATTTAGATTCATTTTTGGTCTTTGATTAATTGTAAGACAGGTTTTAATGTATAGTATTATTGCACTCATCTCTAATTGCAAGAGCCAATGTAATTCCTCATTGAGTGCAATCCTAGATTTATTCCGACTATTAACGTAGCTTATAAAGTTCAGTTTTAACAATTATTTTCCATTTTGAATTTCCTACACCTCTATTTTTATTTTTGCATAATTGGACTTCTCTTCCTTTATGAATAATCCAACAAGAACAACGTCGTTAAAGAAAAAAGAAAGAGCTAAACGAGCGTGAGGCTTCCGGAAAACATAAAAACGTTAGGCGTTTGTTTCAAGTTTTGCAAAAGTTGAGGTTACAAACAATGGAAAGTGTATTTGATTATCTAACAAAGCAGTTGTTTTTTTAAGAAAAACTTCAAGCATTAATTTTTCAAACATTATAAAAATTGGAAGGTCCTTAGAAGTAACAATGCGAACAGTTTCTGTATAAAAATAACTCAAATTTTAAAAATGGGATTGATTGTTACAAATGCAAAGAGTTTTTGCATCAGACATAAACGTAAACTCTTTGTGCTAAATTTCATTACGATAAGATAACTAAATCTATTACGTCCATTAATACAGTTTTATTATACAATCACAGTTTCTAAATGCTATAAAATTAACTTTTAGAGCTAATGTCCACCTAAATCTCCAAGGCGAATTTAATTGTTTCGACAAAAAAAAGAGAGAGGTAGATAGAGAGAATAACTTCTATTTTTAAAAAATTAATTATTGTTACGAAACTTAGCTCAAAGTAATAATATGAAACAAGCAAATAGACAAGAATGTAGAGAGAAAGAGAGGAGAGATTCTTATTTCTTCCATGTATTTTCCAAGTGTATACAATGTGATGCCCAAACCCTCTATTTATAGGATGATATTTAGGTGATACAAAGGGATGTCATGAACATGGTATTAACTATTGAGATCATGGGGGAAAATCATGGAGGGGGTTATGGAGGTGTGAGAGTTACAACAATAATTGTAAAAAGCAGTGGGAGGTTAACGGAGAAGAGTAGTGGGAGTAACTTCTTTAAGAGTTATAGACATCCACTATATAATATAATATTTCATAACACTCTCCCTTGGATGTCTATAGATAATGTGCCTCGTTAAAAGCTTACTAAGAAAAAATCTTGTGGGAAAAAATCTTAGTGAAGGAAAAAGAGTACACATATTTTGTAATACGCATTGTTTGTTGTCTCGTTAAAAACCTTGCTAGAAAAACCCGGTGGGATAAAACCTCAGCTAAAGAAAAAAGAGTGCATCGCGTATCTTACTTTCCCTGATGAAAACATCACTTTACTTTTCGGAAATGACGCATTCTAATCCTGTATACAACTTCTCAAATGTTGAGGTTGGTAATGATTCATTAAACAGATCCACCAAATTATCAATCAATAAATTTGTTAAATATCTGTATTACCAATATGTCGAAGATCATGTCTGAAAGAACTTTGGTGAAATGTTCTTTATTTTGTCTTCTTCGATCGTCCTTCTTTCAATTGAGCTATGCATACAATATCATCTTCACTGTAATTGAAATCTTGTTGAATATCATAATATGGCAGTACCCTCAAAGACAAATAGATTATCTGAACAATGAACTATGCCCTGCATTTGTATAACCAACAAAACTTTGACAATATTTGTTAGAATAAATAAATCTGTATCAAGGACTAGTGAATTTATTCGCGCTTTGCGCGGTCATATAAAAAATATAGAAATAATATATTCTTAAATGTAATCGACATAGAAGGAAATAAAAATTTCATGCGTATGTATACAAAAGATATAGGAAAGAATAAACAAAAAAACCAATATAACTCCCATAGTAGTCTAACAAAATAATAATCTTGAGGTTCCATTGCTCGAGGCTTTATTTGAAGGCACAAGCTAACTTCCGTGAAGCATAAATAAAAAATTAAAAAAAGTTCCCAAGATGGCAATGTTAGATGATAGGAAGTTCTCCTAACGACAACGAAAACGATAACGATCAACTCATAAATGTTGGGTTTATCTTTTGAAAATTGTCACTATCACCCTAATACATCTTCTCAAATTGTACTATGGATGAAGTCAACAAATTAAAATTGACTAAACATTAAAACATATATACTCTTTGTATATACAACTGAAAGAGAAAAAGTAAAAAAAAATTACTGGGGAAAATAGGTATGGGATGAAATGCGATGCAAAGTTTAAAAAGAAAAAATGGATGGACTCTTATATGAAGACAATACATATCAAATTGATTGAAAATAGACTTGGTCCTCTACATGTTTGTACTCGTACTCTAACGATCTCATTCTCAAGTTTTTGGCGCAACTAAGAAGTTGTAAATTCCACTCATTGTTCTTGCTAATTCTCTCTAGCCTCTCTCTCGTTCTCTCTCTCTGTTCCTCTCCAGATTTCCTTTTTTCACTTTAAAAAAGTGCCAGAATAAAAATGGCAGCAAGCGAAAAGTTGAAGGCAATTCTCTCACACTTTAGTTACAATTGCAGATAAATTTTATTTGGACTGAAAACATTACGACGGTAGCTCTTCAATTTAAAATGAAGACCCCATTAAATGCAAAAAGGCGTGGAGATGTAACCCGAAATGATTACTCTTTACCGTCCTTATTTGCATAGATGGAGTTGTTACCATCAGACTCACCATGCTCGGATAAAACGCGGTGTGGACCGATGATATTTAAACCCAAAATTCTTGAAGACCACCCTTTTTCTTCATTTAAGGGGTAAATAAAAGGGCAGAACTATGAAAAATGAACCATTATTGGAAAATTAAAGGCTTTGAAAACGAAAAGACTTCAGTTTCTTTAACGTCTTTCTCTTTTAATTGAGCAATGAACGCAAATACAGTAAACTTTTTAATGGAGTGACTTCATTTTTCAATAAATTTTTAAGGGCAAAATAAAAGAAAATGTCAAAAAATCTGACAAAAAGATAAATACCAATGCTGAATATAGGAAGGTGCCATATCACATTTCACATTCCCAGCTTTATATATATAGATAGATTCTTTTTGCAATATAACATTGATCGTACTTCAATATCTCCATATAGGAGTAAAACTATATCTTGCAATCATATTGTTATACTCATGGTTCTAGCAAGATATATTAATGCACCAATTGCACTAGACACAAAAACAAATCATGTACGCCATAATTTCTCTAATCCACATAAGGATTTGCCGAAATTTTATTTAATAAATTTCTTGGGAACCTTAATATGCTTCAGAACTGTAGAAGAATTAAACAGTACAGCTATTACGTGACTCTAGTTAGTTGGCCATGGTCAATTAGTTAGTTAGTTGTTTGCTTAACGGTGTTACCTAACTTATGTGTTAGTGGGGTGTATTAGTTAGTTGGTTTTACAGCTGTCATTCATTAGGATTAGAGATGTATATATACGACTCTTGTAAGTATAGCATGTGAAGAATGAAGAACTGAAAATTCTGCTCCCCTCTGCTTTTTCTTCTTCTTAATCTCTTCATCCTCTTCACTCGATTGCACTCACGAACGACTCAATTCACCAATTCATGGAGATTTAACATGGCATCAGAGCCCTAATTGAGTGAATCTAGGACATGCGAGAGATAAAACAACAGCTGAATGCGAGAGATGGAACAATTCATGGATTTCTGACAACAGTTGAAGATCGAGAGATTATTCAGGAATTTTTTGGTGAATTCTGAGTTTTGCTTTAGTTTTGTCCCCTAAATCTCATGGCGGTGGATGATGCTACTACACAAAATGTGATTGTGATTGATCATAATCACCCTCTGTATTTGCATGCTTCCGATTCTCCAAGCTCGTCTTCGATCGGAATGCCTCTGATCGGAATGGAGAATTACACCCTATGGCGACAAGCCAGGGAGGTTTCTTTGCTCACCAGAAATAAACTGGGCTTTGTTGATGGAACAATTACTAGAGACACTTATGGACAAAATTTCGTTAATCATTAGGATCGCGGCAATGCCATGGTAAAATCATGGATAATGAATAATGTTAGTTGAGATCTACTTAGTGGAGTGTTATTTCGTTCTAGTGCTCATGCTATTTGGGAGAATCTGAGAGAGCGTTTTGATAAGGTGACAGCTTCTCGCATGTTCTATCTACATAAAGAAATTTTCACATTAACACAAGGAACTTCTTCTATTTCTGTATATTACTCTAAGTTGAAGGACCTATGGGATGAGTATGACTCATTGATGCCGCCTCCTTCATGTGAATGTGCAAAATCTAAGGAGTATGCTAATCATTTGCAATACCAGCTCTTGTTACAGTTTCTTATAGGCCTTAATGATGGATATAGTCAAGCACGCAGCCAGATTTTGATGAAATCTCATGTTCCTAATGTTATCAAGCATATGCGATGTTGCTTCAAGATGAGAGTCAAAGACTGGTAGCAGGAGGGCATTGTGTGTTGACTGAAAATAGGGAACCTACTGCTCTATTCACTACTAAACCGTATGCTCAGAAGCAAGGGAAGAAGAATTATAATCTGGAGTGTGAATATTGTCACATAAGAGGACATTCCAAAGAGAATTGCTTCAAGTTAATGAAGTGTGATTTTTGCAACATGAAAGGACATTTGAAAGAAAATTGTTATAAAATCATAGGATATCCTCCTGATTTTAAGTCAAAAAAGAGAGGTGCATTGCCGAGTGGAAATCTAGCACAATCATATGGATATGTTGCTCCTACATATCGTCCAATTCTACCTATGATAGCACCTATGACAGCACCAGTTTTTACACCAGAACAGTACTCTCAAATCCTCAACTTGTTGAATAAAACTTCAATTGGTGAACCTAGTGCAAATATGGCAGGTATTTCTCTATCTGATTCCAACTCTAATCCTACTTGGATAGTAGACACAAGAGCTACTAATCATATGACAGGTAATGAACGATTGTTGATTGATGCTACTAAAGTAGGAAATTCAGGACAGGTTCAAATGCCTACTGGAGAATCTGCTCAAATTACTCATGTAGGAAATTGCCATTTATCAGGAGGTGATTTCATCAAATATGTTCTATGTGTACCAGCTTTTAAATTCAACCTTTTATCAGTTTTAAAATTGACTAAAGCATTGCAGTGCTTTGTTAGCTTCTATCCT